AAACTCTTTAGAAAACTTTTTCAAAATCCAACTCTCATGCCATTAGAAAGAGGATCATGAAAAACCTATAAAAAAATGGTTCATGAAATTTTAGTTCACTCATAAAGCTAAAGTCCGCCTGCTCTGGGAAAAAATGCCCACTGTGCGTTAGCCACTTGTGTAGATGCCCGCAACGTCGCTTCGAAAGAAAAACTACGGCAGAAAAAACTACGTCGACTGAGGTACCTTTTGGCTTTTCGAAAAAGAATATGAAGTTTTGAAATGGAAGTGACTTATACTGATCTTAGAAAAGTCAAAAAGTGCTTCAGTCGACGCAGTGTTTCTGTCGAATGAGATATTACGGGAATCTGTCCAATTTAAAATAGGAGAAAACAAATGTGAAAGTTCGGAAGATGTCGTAGTCTAGATACGAAAAAATGTTCATACTGTGCGTAGAATCGGTGCCCTTAACAAAAGTTAGGAGGCACTTTTGTTTGTTTCCCAGCTCTCCGGGCAAAACCTCTCCCTAAATAACTTACATGTGATAAAAGAACGAGAAACACTGTGCTCCACTCGTCGTTGTCGGCCTTAGGATTAAAGGTGACATTAAACCAGCTCGATCACATAATGCTTGTGGCAAACTAGATTCGATGAAGATGTAGGCGGAGGAATTATCAGCACCTAAGAAAAGGTCATTATATTATACGACGACCGAGACACCTTCTGTTCTCTTACCTGTCGTTGGACCTGTATCATAGGTAGGGGTTTCACCATATTGATGAGTCCAGGAAAACTGTGCAGTTGGATCATGTGTCCAGCCGCAAAGGTTCTGCTCAAAACTACAATTGCTATTATGTATCTCAGGTATTATCTCAGTATTATTACATTCTCCGTCAGACAGTCTTAATTCATCAACAGCAATATCTGCAGGAAAAAAAGAACTGGATCATTGAATAAGAGACTTGTTTACTCACTACTCACCACCTTCAAAGTTATCTCCGACATAGGCGTCGATTCTAAAATAAAATTCACCCGCTGTCATATTCGAGAACAAATTAATTTGATCGCTAAACCATATGTCTCCATGATCTCCAGTTTGTTCGAAAAGAACTCGTTCAGTTGCAGGTTCGGTCGTATTCTCAATCATCGACACTCGGAAGGTGCTGACACTTGCTCCATACCTGGAGAACGATACACACAGTCAGCTACACTAAATGCAGGCTCTGATAACTTACATGTGATAGTAAAAGGAGAAACACTGTACTGACGCGGAGCTTGAAATTATAGGTGAAACTAGGCCTGCTCGCTGACCTTTCACCGCAGGAAAGCTAGCTTCCATATAAATATAATACAGGGAGCCATTAGCACCTGAAATGTGGAAATTTCTCTGTGTCGAACATGCTTAGACTCTCGTCTATACACTCCTTTCTTACCGGACTGTGGACCTGTGTTCGAGGTAGGAGTTGACTCGCTATGCCGAACCCAATTCAAATCTGCAGTTAGATCGTGATTCCATTGACAAAAATCTAACTCAAAAGTGCAACTGACTTCCTGAACTGAATCATTCGTAGCTTGGCAACTACACTGAATATTTGAATCCAAGAGATAGAGTAGCACAAACATCAACCCTAAACGAAAATGAAACCGAGAAATTCAAAGTATGTAGCACAAAAGTGGAAGCAGCTCACATTTCTCATACATGAAATAGTTTTTGAGTCGATTAACAGAAAAAATTTAATAATTTTTAAGAGCAAAGAAATGGTTTTATATACCTAAGCAGTTTGTGCTTTCTTCTTCATATCAAAAGTCAATAGACAAATAGTTTTAAGTAATTAATCACTGTTTGCTTAACAATCAGTTTCGCGTAATCTTAAAGTTTCTAAGTGATTATATTAGTTAAAAGCACTTGCTCTCTCGACCTTGAAGTCTGTTTTTATGCGATTACTAGTGAGAATTTAAGGTTTAAAGTCAAAGAGATTGTCGAGAGGGGAAATAAAAAACTTTCTTATTCCCTTTACTGTAAGAGGGTGATCGTAGTGAAATCTCTATACTCCAACGAAATCAACTTTAATTGTGATCTTCGATCCTGTTTTGTTGGCCGACTATGCGTAGTCAAATCTTTTCTTGATCCAACCAGCTATGACCGAAAAGTCTCTAAACGTCACGGCATGTTGTCTATTATCTCGACATCATCGGAATCATTTCGTCACTATCTCGCTGAGAATTCCTCACTGTCCTTCGGTACTTGCAACTGGCCGATGCGAACGGGTTTAATGTGCGTTTCGTTATTAGCAGCAGTAGTGATAATGGTTGTAGCACCACCAGTAGTACTAGCAGTAGCAGTAGGTGTACCATTACCGCCACGACTACCACCACCACCACAACAACAACACAAATAGCCGATGATCTGATTGATACATATATAAATTTCTCATGTGGATGTTGGCTTCTAAACCTTTTATCTCGTTATGTTAACATAGTCGGGCGGGTATATGGCGAGAATAAAAGGATGAAACACTAACAACAAACAGCTTAGGAAAAAAGTGGTACTACTGAGAATAAAACTAGCCACTATTGAATCCAACTTTTTCTTTATATCTGAGATTTAGACTGAGAACCAACAAACTGAGTAGAACTACGCAGCCTGCCTAAAACGCTATAGGAACTAGGGATGGCACTTTCCCGTTATCGTTATTGTAACCGGCAGCGAAACCCTATTACCTATTACCAGTAACGGTAACGAAAACGCGTTACCTGTTACCAGTGGCGGATTCAGAATTATTTTTTGGTACGTGCGGTATATGATAAAAGTGCGAGATACGTGCGATCGTCATAGAAACAAATTATTCTAAGAGAGATCTGCTGAGAAAAAACAGTTTCTTTGGTTAAAAGGTACGAGCGGCCGCTCGTACCGCTCGCGGGCTGGATCCGCCACTGCCTGTTACTGGTAACAGAAAATGGAAGTGTGTTACCCGTTACTTGCCGTTACCAGTAACAGGCAATGAAAAATTTTCTTACAAGTTAGGTAATTAAAATCGGCTTAATATTAAAACTTTATGAGTCACATTATGAAACATATCGTAAATCAAAAACTTGTACTACTAAACAACGGGAATCATTTGAAGCTCAAAAAGCATATTTATCTTGTCAAAAGATAAACTAACGCATTAACTGTAACATAATTATATTATACTAGAGTAATAATTAAAAATAAATAACATAACTCGGTTTCTACCTTCTGTTGAATCACGAAATAACATATTTTATTTTAATTCAGTGTAGTACTAAACTTATCGCCGTTTTCAGTTTTGGATCCGCTCTTTATAACACCATTGACGGATCGTAGAACAGAGTGTTTGAATACAAGTACGGTTTTAAAACACGTAAGAGCAAACACGAAGCGAGTCGCGACACCGACTCTTACAAAAAAACGGGTAGCGTCAGCTTTTTTCTATCAGACTGCCGACGATTGGAATGCCTTACCAGAAACGGTTGTAGCGGTACGTACTCTAGGTTAGTTCAAAGTGACGCTCAAAAATCATTTGCAAATTTAAGGTGTTTTCTGTGGGTTTGTTTTTATTTCTGTACTCTACTCTGTAAAAGGAGTGTATTCTCTCTCTTGTGGTGTTGTTACTCCAGTTGGCAGTGTGTATAAGTATTTTTTACTTTTTCTGCTTTCCTACAGCAGCTCTTTTTCTGTAAAGTCAGCTTTGTTTGTAAAATAAAATCAAGTTCAAGTTATTTGTTAATAAAAAACGTTCTAATAAGTTTGTGAAACAATTTTCTAAAAGTTCGATTCTTGATCTCCTACGATTGCAGCCGGAAGTGTATCGTTTTGCTTTGAAAAGAAAAAAATCTTAATAATTTTTATAGTGGAAAGAATGATAGAATACTCACTGTTTGTACAATTTTTAAGATTTCTAAGCTCATTATTCGCACCAATGGAATAAAACAAACTTAACGACACGCCCTAACTGCGAGGAAAATGTTTTCAAAGGTAGGTCTGCGATTCTGATACACATGCGCTGAGCATCAGTTTAGACTCGCATGGGTAGATATGTCCTAGAAAGCGAAGTAAAATAAAAAGCCTTGTTTATAATGTTAGACGCAGTGAAGACAATATTTTTTTTAAGAAGATTGTGAAGCGCCGGGTTTAGAGAGAAGGTGTATCAGTCAATTTTCTTTGCATCATATCAAACCTCCGAGAAGGAAAGGTTGCA